AAGGATAGTACGTAGGTATCGAGGCGTCGCTATATACTAGCTATTAAACAATAAGCGGAAGATGTCGGGGATCTTATTACGCTTTTCTATGTTATTCTTAGACTAATTCTTGCGCCTAGGCGTAGAGGCATTAGTATTAGCATTACCTGCTTCCTAGGTTTCTAGTATAGCTGTACCTATGCCTATACCTATGCCTATACCTATGCCTATGCCTATGCCTATGCCTCTCGGAACGATAACAGTATCCTCGTTATCCTTATCCTAATCTAGGTCTCTATTAATATCTTCGCTAGAGATCTCGGTATTACGTAGACCGCTTAGTCGGATCGGCTAGTATATAATAGCACCCTATACGAGATTCTTATATTAGTCCGCGTTAGCCGGTCGACCTTCTCGATTAATAATAGAGGTATAGTTAATACTATCTAGAATACGCTTAGCTACATCGTCGATATACTAAGGGAAGAAGAAGATAGTATATAACCGCTGTCCTGCGCTAAGCTTACGACTAGCACGACTAGCTCGCTATATAGCATCGTCGATATCCTTCGTAATAGGCAGCTGCTATATAATAACGAATTTAATATCGCTAATATTAGTGCCTATAGCGATCGCTAGGGTACTAACTATAATGCGAGTTAATAAACGAGCGCTAGGCTTCTTAAACTCGTTATATCGGAGATCCTTATCGTAATTAGCAATATAAGCAGTATAGAAAGCGACGACTTTGTATACATTATAGCTAGTATTGTTCTAGGTATACTTCTTAGTTAGATCTTCTTAGCCCTCTATTAGCTGGATAAGCTACTAACGTAGTATAAAGGTTAGCTTATTAACCTTGCCCCGACTATTAATAAAGACGATCGCCTTATCGATATTTGCGGGTATAGCCTGTCCGTCCTAGTCGACTGCTTTCTTTAGTAACAGATATAATAAGTCGAAGTCGCTACTATGCTTCTACGGGATAGTCTTAAAGATATATATAGTGTCGATCCGATCGATGCTCGTACGGATAACCTTAGTCTTAAATGCCTCGCGGCTATCGTTGCAGAAGCCTCTATACTTTAAGACAAATTCGAGTGTCTCCTAGGAGATAGTCGTAGAGGCACCTAGCTATAGGGTATTATTGCGGAACAGGCTACAGAGGGTATATATTTAGGCAAATTCCTCGCGGAAGTCCTTCTATTTATATACTAAGTATAGCTTATCGATAGTAACAAGGCTAATACGATCGCTAATCTTCTTAAATACCTCTCGCAATTCCGGAGTAGACGCCTACTCTAGACTATAGAAGATATAGTAGTACTTGCTAGTAACGATATTATCGTATATCTTTAGATCCTTACGCTTAGTCTTAGTAGAGATTATATAGCAACGTACTAACTCGACGTTTCCGGTAGTAACTATAGACTTCTAAGCAAGCGTACGTATCGTTTAGTCGATATTAGCCTTCTGCTCTTTACTAAGGCGGTTTAGAGGGATAATCTAGATGTTAATGCGACTAGTTAGTATAGTATATGCCTAGTAGACTAAGCTCTTACCGCTACCGGTCTTCTCGATTATTACTATATCGGTGCCTGCGAAAACTAGGTTATATAGTACCTCGCGCTAAAGGTCCGAAGGCATATAGCCCTTATCTAGATAGAATGCATTTAGTACCTACTACAGGCCATTCTTAATAATGTCCCGCTAGAAGGGGATAGCCTCTCGCTTAAGACCGGCATCCTATATTAACATCTAGATTTCCTCTAGATTAAATAGCTTATCGAGCATATAATTAGTCGTAGCCTAGAAGAAGGCGGTCTTCTATTATAGATCTTAAGGAAGCTCTAGCTTCTTAGTAGACTAGTTTGGCTACTAGCGGGTATAAGCCTTGCGAGATAGAAGGATTAGTATAGCTTGTAGCTAAGTGTTCTGCGTGCCTTGCTATTACTATTGCTGCTAGCGGCGCCGGTCGTATATCTTTGCTAGACGGCCTACTAGATTCGCACTCGACTAGCCCTAACTCTAGCCCTAGTTTTGCTGCTGCTAGCGCCGTTACCTACGTTAGTTCTTAGTAAGGTTAGGGTTCCTAGCTAACTAGAGAAAGCTACCGCTAGCGTAATAGATCGGATCCGGAGGCGCTATACGTAGAGGCGGAAGATTAGTATAAGTATAAGCATAGCCACATTCTATAGCTTGTCCGGCGTCCTTATTACTAGATCCACTACCGACAATAATGTCTTTATATTTAGCGCCTTTAGCACTAACTTCCTCCTACTTTAAGTCTATTAATAGTCCTATATCCTAGCGCGGTAGACCTTAACGAGCGGCTTCTTCGGTAGCTATAATGTACAGCGATAGCGATAACGATAGCGGCGAAATGCGAAATACGAAATTCGAATACGGACTCGAGTCTTAAATTCGATAAGCGATTGAATCCCTCTAAAGCAGGCGGTTACTAGGGCGGAGGTATTCGGTTGTTGCGCTATACTAAAGTCGGGCAGCTCTAGTAATATAAGACGGTAGATATATAGTAGTAACGGATATGTTAGATAAACATGCGCGAAGTTATGCGCGTTTAGTAAAGCGCGTAGACCTTGAACAGCTGCGTTTTAGCCTAGTTTACCCGATCGGTATTAGCACGTAATAACGCGACACTGTTACGGATAGCAAACACTTAGAGGTTAGAGAGCGGGTAATTCTAAGGGTCTACGCATGTTTCCGCCTATAGCAAACGGTAGTAGTTATATCGTAGCAGAGGCAATCCGGACGCTATTCGCATAGCGTTTGTCTTAAAGCAGTGTTTTGTAATTTTCATTCCTACATCTTTGGAAATATATAGATTATTATATAGACATTGATTTTCGTCTACTTAATACCTATAATCAATTCTAATATAACTTTTACTCAAAATGTATAGTTGTTGTACTATTCTACCTGTTTTGTAGATATATAAGGTTAATACTACAGCTTTGCGACATTTGTCCTTAGGCTCTTCTACGAAGACATCTCTACTAGCACTATACTATATCGAGAAGAACCGAGATCCGATCGACGCTAAGAATAGGATAGAAGATAGAAGGTGGAAGGTAGAAGGTGGAAGGTAGAAGGTAGAAGGTAGTTACGACAGATAGAAGGTAGGTAATGTCTATAAGAAGAGCCTAAGAAGGAGGTAGCCTTTAGCTATTGTTCTTAACGTAAAGTAGCGAGCCTATTTTAGGTAGCTTCTTAAAGTCTCGCTACTAGCTAGAGCCTAAAGGCTAGTTAGTTATATCGACGGTTAACAATATTGCTAAGGATATCGTTAATAGGCAACGATAGGTTATCCCCTTCGATTATAGGTTCTTTAGTAGGCCCTCTAGTAGGCTCTTTAGTAGGAGGCACTTTAGTAGGCACTATGCTACTAGCGTTGTTATTGCTAGCGCTACTAGCGGCGCCGCGGTTGTTATTGCTTCGTAATAGACCGGCTATTATAATAAGGGGTAATACTAATAATAAATTATAGGCCCCTATAGTGCGGATATAGCGGAATTAGCGAGTATCGGTCTAGTACAATTAACTTAGTATAATAGGCCGTATAGAAGGCCTTGCTTAATAATTAGTACGGTTATTCTAATAGAATAGTACGTATAGGTCCCGCTCTTCGGGCGTAATATAGTTAAATCGATAGTTTTCGTAGCTATACCGCTAAAAGCTTAAAATAAGGACTATCTAGCTACTGCCCTTAAAGGGTAGATCGAATACTATATAAGAAGGGTTATATTAGTAGGTAGATAGGGTAGTAGTAGGTACAAGTAGTATTCGATAAGGATCTAGGAGGAAAGGGAGGAAGGTAGGAGAGTTAGCCTATTACTAAGCGCTAAGCCCTACCTAAGGCATTAAGACCCTAGCTTTACTCGAGCCTAGTTATATACTAATTACGTATAACCTCTTTAGTCCTAATACTAGAGTAGCTTAAGGAGCTTACGACGAGAGTTATATAAGGTATCTATTAGTCTAGAGTAGCGCTTAAGAGCAAATTAGACTAGTACTAATAACGTATACGTATAGTTAGTAGTAGTAGTAATAGTATATAGGTAGTTATAGCGTAGGGAGGCTAATTTTTAAAGATACGCCTATAAAACTTTTAACTAACTAAGCCCTCTAATTAGTCTAAAATCGGATCCGAGTTATATACTCTTTAACCTTAGGCTATACTTTTATATATTAATAAAGACAATAAAGGCAATACTATAATACGCTAATACTACTACTATCCCCCTAATAGTACTATATAATATTACTAGTACTATACGATACGACTAGCACTATATAAAGGTATTTGCTAAGAGTAAGGTATATAGGAGGATATATTAGTAATTAGGCGAGGAAGAGATTAGTAAAGAGATACGTATTTAGATTATAATAGCGGAAGAACAAATACGTTAATAGGCCTTTAGTAATAGACTATATTATAATTAGGAGAAAGACTTAGCTATAGTATAGATATAGGACGACGATAAGACCTTTAAGTAGATAGAATATAATAATACTAAAGTGTAAGCGCTTTTAGCGCTACTAATCTAATACTATTCTTAAGCGCTAATCTGTTACTCCGCTTAATTAGGATAAGTGGTATTAAGTACTATAGGGCTTAAACGATACTTTATATTACCTCTAATACTCTAAACCCTACCTCTACTATCGCTAACTATCTATTCTAAAGATCCTGTATAGTATAAGTAATAGCGAGGCTAGTTATCGGCGTTAATAGGGTCGCGAGACGGTACTAGTAAGAGACGCGATTATAATAAAACTAGGCCGTTTAGAGGAGTTAGTACTACCTAATATTAGTGCGAAAGCACGTAAAGAGAACAGCGAATTAAAAGAGCACGATAGCAGGGACCGAGCACCTCGTTACTATAAAAATCACTACCAAATTTGGTATAGATCGCCCGGAAGGCAGGGGACACGGTTCAGGCGGCCTCGGGACGGCTTCCTGTATGTATATAACCCTCTGTAAAGCAAGCTATGCCATGATGCCCGCCATCCTCCCATTAGGTCATCGATCTTTCGTTCAGGGATGTAAGCCAGATTACCAGGCCATGGTCGATTTGCATGATGACATTTGTGAGTTTTGGACTCTGCTCACCGTTAGTCAAGGCCAAATCGTTCGCGGGGGTCGGATAGTCCGGATAGTACTGCAATACGAGGTACACCAGAGCGGTCTGAACTTATTGTCTCCATGCCGTTGGTGACAAGCCTTGCTCCAAAGCTGCAAGACATCATTGACCAACTGATCAATGCAGACCAAAATCGAAATCCCCTGCCATGTCGAACGACATCAACACGAAACCGAGCAGATCCGATTCGAGCATCGAGCCCAATGCGGCATGCAGAAAATGTGCTATAGGTTGCTATGCAAGCAACCCAAGCATTACGAAGCGCTCGTAAGTTGGAATGCCTGGATGCCTAAAGTTGTAGTCACATGACGAAACATTTGAAAAGCGACCAATGACCTGGCCCCACGCAAGCTTCGGGAGGTCTTCGAGGTCGCTGCTTCGTGAACTGGAAGCAGTGGAAGGTTATCCCGCATGATGAGGTCATTTGAAGCAACAGTGCCTCGTATATCATGCTACTTATTCATCAATAAGTCGAGCACAGCGCATCCCTTCGTTGTTCAAAGTATCTTTTGAGACCCAGTTTCCAGGTTTTGAGGCTTGCAACGTCTGCGGGAAGGCAGTGAACAGACCAGAAATCTGTACGTGCGCGTTGCTGTGCAAGCAAAAGTCCCCAGGCGCCACAAAACTCTAGAATTGGGGACGAAAATTGTATGTATCACGCAGGCTTTCAGACGGCATGTTGTTTTGACTTGCAGCGCAGCACCTCACCTCACCTCTTCACCTGATACACGTATCGGCACTTCTATGTTCCGAACTCCGCAACTTTCAGCCAATCAGATAATGCGGACAACGAGGCCTTCCTGTTGGAACACGTGTAAACAAATGTCAACTCCACTGCTACGAGCCCTCGACTGATACTCGCAACACATCACCGCTACAGCATGTCAAATCCATCACGACTTGGCGGCCAATCGCAGCTTCAGCGGTCGCGCGCCTGCGACCCTGTCATCGTCGAAGTTCAATTGACTCCATACAGAAACGACAGACTGTACAGTTGAGGTTTAGGCAAGAGCTTGAGAATGTGGAAGAAATGTCGAATAAGAGGAGGTGTGAGAATGGCTGGTTGGGATTGAGACCAGCTATAGTGTTGCGACTCCGTTGGCCGTGGTCGGAGAGTTGATGGAATACTGACTCCCATACCAAGAGAGGTGTGCGCCCGGCAGCAACAAGGCTTTCTCTGTACGAGGCATTCGACAGTACAGCAGAACGCAGCTTCGGATCAGCAGCATTCAAAGAAGATCTGTCTTTCAAGAGCCTGCTGCAAAGTGCTATAAGTATAGCTACCTATGCGGTATACCTATCCTACGTATATTTGGTAAAAGAGTGTTGATTTGTGGATACCAAAAAGGCCGACATCGCGGGCTGAATTCGACATATAGGCTGGTGAAGCCAAATTCCACACAGCCAACCGTATCCCCAATTGCCCTTAGCCGCTTCTCGCTGTCTTCCCCGACTTAGAAGTAGTAGCAGTCACAGACTAACCCGTTGGGTTCACTACTACTTATTAGTCTTAACAATGGATTGTTAGTGCGAATACTTACGCCCATCCCTGCCATCTACCCGAATATTCACTGTTGCCAATGCACTACTTAGATGTTAGATTGGATCGAGGAGTCTTACTAGAGTAGGGAGGCGAACGGGATTGTAGACAATACTCGTAATTAGTGAATGGCATGATTCCATCGCTGCCTTGGCGCAATTACCAATCTAGAGCAATTAGACAGAGTACTTTATAAGGTTTAGAACTTGCAACATACACCGTCGGAACAGTCGGTCCAGGATGGGCAATCACAATGCCCTTGGTCGTCAACAGCTTGCGTTCCGATCTTTGGTACTGCACTTGCATTCGAATATGCAGCTAATAGAATAATAGCCAAAATTGTATGCATCGTAGACTTCTTGCCGATTAGCTAAAGTAGTAGAGATATTGTTTGGTTCGAGTCGCTATAGCAGTAGAGACTTCATTACTCGTAGAGGACTAAAGTACTTTTATAAGATATTTAGCGAAGAGCGAACACGAATAGTCTTTCTCTATTACCTTGCATAAATGTACGACATGGTAGGTAGAAGAGCTCGGTAGTTTATTGTCGTAGGCCGTATCTCTAAAAATTACACGATAGGAACCTCGATATACGTTTACGATGCCTAGAAACAGGCAGAGCGGTTACGATGCCTAGGAACAGGTATACGTTTACGATGCCTAGAAACAGGTATACGCTTACGATGCCTAGAAACAGGCATACGCTTATAGCTTTATCGATACCTAACCTATAGTAGGCTTAAGCAGAGAGCTGTATCTTATCGGCTTGCCTACTCTATCGAGCTCTGCGCAACTATGCATCTACCGGCCTGCCTACTCCTTCGCTAGCATACGTCGAAGCCCTGCGCGACAGCAGGCTCGAGAAGAGCTATGTATCTACCGTCCTCGAGCAGAGAGCTGTGTGTTATCGGCCTAGCTACTCCATCGCTAACACTGCCTACTTCTTCGCTAGCGTAAGTCGAGTCGAAGAAGCCCTACGCTATAGCAGCTCGAGCTAAAATACCAGACAGCAGTTACAGCACGTATTGCTTCTTCAACCATTTACTCTTACGCGTTCGAGCTTTCCGAACCTTACAGACTTACAACTGTTCCAACTTGCAAACATGAAGTGGCAACGCAACTCCTCCCTACTCTTGCTTCCCTTGATAGTGTCTCAACCGACTACCGCATTATACCAACCTCTTGTTCCCGCTAGTAGTGCTTCTCATGCACTAGTGGTCCGCGACTCCCCAAAGATCGTCGAAAGAAAAATTATTACTTGTTCCGCTACGAAGCTTGTATGTACGTATATCTTGCAGGTATTTAGTTCTAGAGCAACTGCTTACAATCTTCAGCTTTTGCGGGAACAATTTCTCTTGCTATCGGGGTATGCATAGAGGCTTACTTCATCGGCGCCGTTACTTGGCCAGGTAAGGCTTCTATATTGACAATGCCCCGATTCTGCTGACATCTTTAGTATTCATTGCGGCCTGGCTAGTCTGCGGTGGTCTGATCGCCGAGATCGTAAGTAAGAAGTTAGATGAGTATACTACGCAGACGATCCTAATATGCATGCCTAGCCTGACGATATCTACGAATGTTTTGGGAAGAAGAAGCCGGGTGCTGAGGTTTTCGAGGGGCTGAGCGAGAAAGAAGCGCACGATTTTGTGCTCAGCCTGTAAGGGTAGAGAAGTGCTTATTGGTAATCATTGGACTATCTGCATGATCGCCACAAGCGATTGCGATTGCCGGTTACAATCGCGATCTCTGCTTATAGCTTTATAGCAGCTAGTCTGATCTGAGTGAACGTCAGGCTTGATGATTGTGTGTTTTGCTTCCGATGCTATTGATAGGCCAATTATTCAACATAGACGGTATCACAAAGCTCTCCACTCTTATTCATAGCATCGTCTTCTTCCAGATCATCGGCATCATCGATCAGAGCATCATTGCCCATCATTTCTGGCTGTTCGCATATCTCTTGCTGTTGTCGCTGCATAGCCAGATGGTCAGCTTCCTCGATCTGATGGAGGGTCTCAAGATCGAGCTCTTCATCTTGCATTGGCACATCACGGTGCCGCTTTATTTGATCCGGTGTCTGTTGAGTATCTTCTGCCATGTCCTCGCTGCCAAGTAGTCCTTCTGATTGCTGCTGTTGTAGCTGATTGCGAGCCACGGCAGCAAAGAACTCATGGTCCGTCATAACATGCCCACGCTGCCCTAGAGCAGGTGCTTGCATATGCTCGATTAGTTGAGGCTGCGGATCTCCGGCAAGGCGAAGACGTGTAACCGTACGCCGAGTGGGACGTACATAAGCATTGCGAGACAGGACAGGCTGGAGAGTATCGATAGCATCTTCAAGCTGACTGGCGCCAATACGAACATTGAAAGCTTCAGTCATACGTGCTACTAGATCCACCTCTCGGACATTCTCGCCTGGGTGGATGAAGCTCAGGATATTGCGCTGGACGAATTGATGGTTGGCGTAGAGAGTATCCATAGAAGAACCGCATTCCAAGTCAGGATCTGATAGTCTCTTCAATGGTAGTAGGCCCGACATACTGGTTGTTCCATGCATTGACTAAAGCCTCACCAAGCAGCATGCTGACAGTGTAGTGCTCTGGTAGCTGTGGATCAGGGTGCTTGTCGATAACATGAAATCGTACAGAAGATGCAGCGCGAGTCTGCCACACGGTTGCGACGTTGCATAGGCGAGGCTTGGAGTAAAGTCATTCTTCAACATGTCCAACACTGCAACAGGTACAGTCATACCCTGCGATTTGTGGACAGTAATAGCGTAGGCGATCGTAAGCGGGAATTGACGGCGGGAGCAGCGAGAGGATTGGCTATTGTTATGCTGCCACTCGCGCTTGACTGGCATAATAGGGACCACATTCGGTGGAAGACCAAGCTGTCAATTTGAATCGAGCCCCTGATTGAGAGATGGGCCGGTATAGCCGTCAACCTCGACGAGTAATACCAACGGCAATGTCTTGATGTGCTCTTGTTCATCGTTGCCTTTCCATGGCTGCATTTGGGCCCAGAATATGTGTCGTATGGTCCTCATGCTCCCATTGACAAGACCGGCTTGGACGCAGAGGTTTTGAGTCAAGTCTCGTAACTCGCTTTGGAAGCCTCTGGGCCAAATTCTCGGCATTGAGCATAGCAATTGGGTTGTCATGACTCTTCATTTTGTCGTAGTTGTACTGGTTGACCTGACGCTTATAGGAGTAAATACGAAGGGCTTCTGAAGTATCCCTATCTGAAGCTTTGGCGAAGAGTGGCTTCCCACCAATAGGAAGCAATTGATGGAAATCACCACATCCTTCGTTGTATGTGGGGTTTGACGAAGACGTTGATCGATCCAATGCAGGATAGTGAGGTCCAGCATTGACTTCTCATCGATAATAACGTACATTACGCTATACATTGACTGCTGGAAATCAGTCAGTGCCTGGCCGTCAAGTGGCACGTACTCTCGCATCTTGAGTGGCAATTTGAATGCCTGATGGATCGTGTTGCCATCAATGCCATTGGCAGTGGCACCAGTAGGGGCGATACGTAGTACTGGGTTTGCCTAGGTTGATTGGATCTTGCTAACCAGCAGCAATTTGGACAAGCCTTACTGGACCGCGATACCTTATCTTTTGATGACATCGCTGCTTTGGAGCCCGAACGTAACAGGTGTCTTACTAGCTCATCGGACAGAGTAGAGCCGAGCTGTGAAGCCTCGAGAAGGCCAGGGGTGTAGCTTAGCAAAGCTCGACCTTCAGGCGTGCAATATGAGGCTGAGATCAATTTCGCCCCGTACAGCTCAGCTGGATAAGTAAGGCGGACACCGGCAATTCCAGAGCTCAAAACGTATCCTTCGACAATGGCGTCTGAGCGTTACAAGCAAGATCGTATGGTAGTCCACGTAAACTGATGATGAATACGACTTGATTGACCCCTATTCTGACCGCTTGTCCCTCGGTACACGAGGTAATGTTAGCCACATGGTGAGGTTGATGGCTAGAATGGCCAGAATGATCGGCTGGAGCACTCTCACGCCAGCAGCACTGGCGATGGCACCGACAGCAAAAGGGAGAACAGCCGCACCACCCATTCCAAGAGCGGCTGTGAAGGAAATTGCTCCAACGTGAAGATGCTTTGGCAAGACTTTCGAGAGCACAACCACTGCGGCAGGGAACATTGGACCTAAATACCAATCAGAGCATGACCGAACGATGACACTGACCATGAACTTACCAAGGAAGAAGCCGAGGAGGGCAACAGCCACAGCAGAAACAACAAACTGCGGAACCAGCCAGAACACCAGCTCCAGTCCCATGGCCGTGAGAAGATATCCCACGATCGCCCACCTCTCTCCAATCCTAGGCGTAACAACTCCAAGCACAATCCGTCCAACCGTAACCCCCAGCCAGAAACCCGTCGAAGTAAGACTCGAATCAAAAGCCGGCGCCTTCCTCACCCTCTGCATAAACGTAACAATCCACCCACTCAACGCCACCTCAGCCCCAACATAAAACAACAAAAACACCGCAATCGTCCAAGTAATCCGCATCTTCAACGCCGCTCTCGTCCTGCCCCCCTCACCCCTGGAATTCGCACTCTTCCCTCGAAAACTCTCCCCATCCTCTTCCCAAAACGCCGCAACCCCACTCCCGAATTCCAAACCCGCGAGCCCCAACGCAAGGAAATAATAATCATGCCACGCCAACCCATACTTATCGACCATCGCACTAGCAATCAACGGCGCAACAGCCGCTCCCAAACCATACAGAGAATGGATCACCCCCAAAATCTCATTCGGACGGTTTAAATCCCCGGCCCAAGCATTCCAACTCGCATCTAGCAACCCATTCCCCCAACCGCAGAAAATCAACAAGACTAAAATCACGGGCCATGGAGGATGACAGGCGAGAGCGATGTAGGTGCAGAGACGCAGAAGTGAAGCGAAGCCTGCGAGGCCGCGTTGTCCGAATTTCAAGTGGATGCGGTCGGAAGTGAAGGCTGCGAGCATGTAGCCTGGGAATGCGGCGAGGAAGACCAGGGAGACGGTTGTGTAGTTTAGGTTGTAGTAGGATTCTAGGGAAGGGAGTAAAGGGCCGAAAGCTGCGTCGTGGAGACCCAAGTTGAAGAAGGCCTGAGATGTTTTAGTCTTGATGAGGATGGTGGGGCTATTGGTTGTTTGGTGCTGCTTACGAGATTCACGGCGGCGAGTCTGAAGATGTTGATTTGTGGATTTCGCCAGGATTCTTTGGCGGCGACGGCTCTTCCGTCGAGAGGTTCGGAGTCGTCTTGGAGCATTGTTCGATTGTGATGCCATGGTTTTGGTTCAGGGGAGTGGCGTTTTGGCTGGTTAGTGTATGGCCGACGGGTTGGAATGTAGGATTGGGAGTTTCGATGGGGTCTTGTTCGATGTGCTGTGCTGTGTTGTTGTTGTCTTGACGGTGCACGGTCAATGTGCTTGTGCTTGAAGACGGCATGCTGAAGATTCAGGGATGGGATGAAGCTGTCTCACATGTGCAAGAGGACACAAATTGATTTTGTAAGAGAAGTACAAGGAGCTCGACGCTACCTCCTTCTCAGGCTCTTTATAGTGACTTCTTCCGCCATATATACGCACTTTCCACACTGCAGGTTGTCATCACTTTCATTCTCTTTATAGTTTAGCGGCTGGAAGAAGTCTTCTATAAAGAGCCTGAGGACAAATGTCGCAAATCCTGTAGATTGAGCGTTATACGCTACGAGGTATATATCTGTAGTATAATAACAACGCGTTTTTAGCTAAAGTTATGTTAGAATCGCACCTAGGCAAGTCCTTAACGGAGACAACTGTTTATACAATGATTACTGTATTTGCAAAGATGCACGAATGAAAACTACAAAACACCCTTCCGTTAGAAACGTTATGCGAATGGCATCCGGATCGCTTCTGTCTTCTGATAATAACACTCCTAACTCGAGCATTGAAGCGGATGAGCTTATTGAGAATTAGCAGCTTTAGAAGCTCTAAGTATTAGGCATTCGATCCGATAGTGAAGTAGTACTATTCCTATATAGGAGGGCTAGCTGCTGGCTGCTAGCTGGTTTTGGCTGGCTGTAGACCCGGGCGCAATCTAGATACGACATCTTGCTCCTTATATATCTTCTGATCTACCTCTTCAATCTTCTTTCTAGGAATCGGGTATAGTCTGCAACGCGTTATATTATCGTGCATTCGAATCTGAGGAATTGTCCTTCGCTAGTTGTGTTATACTCCAAATTCATAAGGACTTCTTGTTGTATTAGCCGACTTTAGTCCTCAGACCCTTGCTGACGTAAGAAGCAGTAAGCAGGTATAATTAGTTAAAAATCCGGTGGTGGAAGGTGCGTGTTGTGCCTGCCTCTGCTACTTGCGTTCAACCAGGAAGGGGCTGAAACGGAGATAGGCTCGACGTACTTCAAAAGAATGGTTCGCAGTCCAAGTACGGCATTGAAGAGCGCCGCCGAAGTGGAGCCGATGTGCGGAATGTCTCCATTCGGAAGTGCCAAGACCCACGAAGTCGGCATCGAGCGGTCCAGTACGCAGGAGGCAATCCCGACTATTGATCGGGCCGATCTTTTTGGGAGAGATTCGCCGAAACAAGATCCGTTCACGAGAGCGCTGACATTTCACAACATGCTATTCCATCGCGAACTCCGTCTTGGTGTATACTGCGGACCGTCAAGCCGACACCGTGCAGGTCTCTTCTTTTCAAAGACCTGCTCTCCTTCACCTCCAACGCACCTCTCCCAATTCCCAAAAGCTTTTGCTCACTTGAGCCTCTATCTGTCTTTACGTGATAAACGCCTCTCCTCCATTCCGACAAGGATTTTGGTTGTCGTAGAACTTCCTCATACGATCGCTCATCCAGCCAGACTCGATACCCTTCATCTTCTCGCCTAGATTCGGTTTCTGGCCGATCATACATCTTCCGTCCTGGTTGAGCGTGTATTGCAGACAATCTTCGTGCTGCACGCAAACCGCACGACATGTTTCCAGGTCATCGACAGGGCCGTGGTCTTGGTCGGCGTGATTGTCCCAGTCTCGACGTGCTTCGATAGTTCGGGGGAGGACGTATTCGCGGTAGACGTCTTTGTGGTACAGGATCTTGCTGTAATCCTGGACAAGACGTCAGTATACGCACAGGCTTCATCCTCTCTTTGATACCGACTTACGCTGGTATTCTTGATCCACTCCATTTCCCAGTCCCACATATCCCGAACCACGCTCGGGGTCAAATGGTGATAGCTGACACTAGGCGCGCACCACATACGATGAGGACCCTCCGCACGATCATAAGTCATTTTGCCAATGTCATCGCCTTGCCAACTCGGCCAGGCCTGAGTGAGTGGTGTTCCAGAATCCGCAAACGCCTTGCCTAAAATACAATCGCCAGCCCAGTGTATGTCCGTAAAGCTCTCCCACGACTCTTGGTTCTGCTGAAACTCCTTCATAACCTTCTCCATTGCAGGACGACTCACGGTGAAACCAGTCCCGCCGTGCGCAAAGAGGACATCACCAATCCAGGTCTGGCCGCCAATGTAGTAGGATTTTTGCCAGTCCAGCGTATTCAAGTAGTTGTGCAATGTCTGTGACAGAATGTATGTATCCACCTCCACGAAAACGTACCACCGCATATTTGGATACTCTGCCAAAGTTCTGTTCACCATCGGCAGGAACTTCCACTTATCCAGCTTCCAACCCGGATTGTCCTGTTTTCCGAAATTGCTGCCAGCACGAGCCGCTGTCCCACTGAGCTCATGAGGCTGCAGAGCTGCGCGTCCTCCTTCCTGCAGTCTCCGCCATAAAGCAAAGTCTCCATGCGCAGCTTTGATGTTTGCATCGACAAACTCCAGAGCATCATAAATATGATGCCCTTGAAACTCCTCCTCGTAGTCGCTAAAAATCATGGAATGTGGATAGCATCGTAGAGTCGTGTTGAGATGTACAGGGAGCTTGTCTTGGATCTCTGTAGAGCCAGTCTTCAGAATCACCAATGTCTCGTTCGCGCCTGGCATATTTCGACAAGGAAGTTCGGGGTTCGATTGCTCGCGAGCTCCGCCATGATTCCCAATGGACCAGGTCCTCCTGTTGGACGTGTATTCCGAAGAGCGATGCGTCAACCAGAACACCAGTAAGCATATAGCAGAAACCACGACATAAGTTGTCCGTCTCGAAGGCCTCTTCTTCAGCCTAGGCACACCATTGCGCTCCGAACCCCTCCGTACTTGGCCATGAGCGCGGATCTTCTCGCCGTAGCCCATGTCTATTAGCAGCATTCGGGCAATAAAAGAAACGAAGGACTAGAATGAGAAAATGAGAGTGATCATGAGAGAGCAGAATAATACTGTACCTGAACGCTGCAGCAGATCTCCAAAATGTGCCTGCCTCCTTGGAACCAAGACTTGCCGCATTGCCTACCGAATAGCCTTCGAGGGGTTCACCAATAATAATCTCCTGAGAGGAAGGCAAGATGACCAGCGAAGCCACGGTGGCGCCCTGCCGTCGAAGCGAAAGCCAAAAGCGGTTGCATTGCTTGTTCAGGGTGTCGGAATGATGTCTATATAAATAATCTTGAGACAGGAAGTCGTGGAGGTGATGGAAGAAAAGGACTGTTATCACTTTATCTCTTTTCGAAATGCTAGCGAGCGTGATTCGGATCTCCGCGGGCGAGCAAGCAAGCACAGGGTAAAGAGGAGGTTCAAAAGGCAAAAAGCCACCGGACCCACTTCTTGCTTGGCAGACAGAATCCAGACCAGATACCTCTCGCAACTGCGTCCTCTTTCGTCCTGCGTATGTATAGAGCGGATGGATGTACTTTGAGATCTTATTATTAAGCAGATCAGGATGTCACCAAATACAACAATCATTCTAGTTCATGGCGCATGGTGCAAACCCTCGATCTTCAGCCCGCTGCTCCCTTACCTCTCTAGCTATAACACCATAGCGCCAGCCCTGCCATCAGTAGGATGCGCGCCAGATAGTGAATCGATGAGAAGCTGGCAACCTGACATTCGAGCAGCCAGCGACGCCATTCTGAAAGCTCTGCAGCGATCTCCGAATGAGAAGGTCGTCGTGGGTTCGCACAGCTACGGAAGCATCGTGTGTAGCGAAGCTCTTCAGGATGTTCCCACCACAGACAGGTCTAGGGTTCGACATGTGATTCTTCAAGGTGTGCTGGTCGATGTTGGGCAAGCGGTCGTGCTGGATCCGACGCAGCCTCCTCCAGCAACCTGGAGAGTTGAAAATGGACTTTGCTGGGCTGGGATGCCGAAAGAAGCACTGCTGCATGGTCTGTCCGAGGAGGAGCAGGAGAAATGGCTCGAGGAGCTGGATTACATTCCTGAGGTGTGAGTCGATCTCCACGAAGCTGACGAGGGACAGTAGTGTTGCTGACGTGAAGAAAGAGTCGCGTACCAGCCTCTTACCTATGCCGCTCAATACGACTTTAAGACAACTTATGTGATTGCCGAGGACGATCAAGTACTGCCAGCCGAGATTCAGGACTTTCTTGTCGCAACTGTCAACGAAAAGGGTGCGGGCATACAGGTAGAGAGGCTCAAATGTGGTCATATGACATTCCTTCGTATGCCAGAGAAAGTCGCGGAAATCATCAAGAAAGTGGCGGACGACGCTCAGTGGCAAGTGTAAAAACATGATGCTTTCTTCTACTTAGATGTTGTCCGACGGAAAGGTCCTAGAAAAAGGGATGAGAAGAGACTGAGCCGTCCAAAGTGTTGTTGTTTCTATGTATTCGTGCGTCGGGGGCATGTTGCGCTCCCAGCTAGGAGTCCAGTCCATTGCTGTTTGAAGATTCTTGCAAATACTTTGCAGCGAGAGGGGCATCTCACTGATGAATGTGCACTGGCTAGTAGTGATGAATCATGAAGGCCCGCGGAAGGCTGTCGGTATTGTGGTGGTATTGTCTGCGGCGGCGTGGTTAGTTGGTGTATGATTCACATTCTTCAACAGCTATATCCATGCTGAAACAGTCCAGTAGTGGCCCAGGGTGAGCTCGTACGCACGTGGGGGTGTCCGGGAAGGTGAGGTGAATGTTGGAACTTGGCAGGAGCATGGAAGCTTAAAATGTTGACCTTTGGCCGTGGAAGAGGTGGCGGGGGCCGGGGGCTGGTAGAAGTCTCGAAAGCTCAGATTTCAAGCTTCACCACCTGTTTAACTTTTGTTTGCTCGATCATCTGCCTGCGCATCTAGTCTCGAAGGAATGAAATTGAGAAAATTCGTGAAATCTTCTCATGCAAGCACTTTATGCCGGAACGAAGCTCCGCGGCAGGATGTTTGCGTGTGTGGTGGCAGGACGTACACGTAGACGGCGCTTACAGTTCGCATTGGTGACACGCAGATTGGGCAGTTGTGGAACAGAAGAAGAATTGTTTCGCTGCGTTGATTCTGCCAAGGCAGGCATGATGGTGCGATGAGGGCATGGGACATGGGACATGGGTATATCGATATCCGAGGACCCTCAGGGGCGCGTAACGGGCGGTGCGAGACTTGGATGGAGGTCAAGTGTTGTGGAAATTGTTGTTCAGCTCAGCTCGCACACGCTTTCGCGAATCGCCATTCTCCTGCCGTGCCGCGGAATGCCTGATCCTCCAGTATAACGTTGGATGTCAGTTGTTCGCATGTCTGGCTATGTCCAAGCTCAGCACACATGCACGATGCAGCCATGCCATGCCATGCCATGGCGTGGTGGAAAGTCAAAGCTACCTCAGCAGGAAAAGGTCGCGAATAAATGTTTGAACTTGGCAGAGAGCGTGGCACCTCTGACAGGGAAATACGAATACCGTATGCATTCGTCGCGGTCATGGCATTCCTTTTGGCGCCCGGAGAACAAAAGCGAAAAGGTCCATGCCGAAGCCCTAAGTTAGCGCCCCAGCCCAGATACCCATCTCACTCACTACTGATCACATCATGCACGCTACCTGCACTATTCCTGCTTCCAGTTCTTGCTCCGCCAAATAAACGTGCGTGCTTGCTGCCCGCCCGTTCCCACTTCGTTTTCCCGCCAACGACAAACTGCCTTGACACTTCGCTGACGAACCCATGCCCGCTCGCTCGTGACCAGAGCTGCTCCTCCTCCTCCTCCCCTAACGAACGAACAACAAAACACTCATCGAGAGTGCGATGCCACTACCGACAGCGCAGCGGTGAAAGGTCGCGTCCGGTCTTGCTAGAATCCTGGCAAGGCACAGGCACAGGCACAGGCACAGGCACAGGCACAACTGCCATCTGAACCTGAACCTCGCTCGTGGATTGACCACCAGTGACACACCCTCGTTCCACGCCACGGCTGAAATACGGCACATCGGACAATCGGCCATACAAGAGCTTGTCCGCCCATCCAACCCGTCGGGATTATTCTTATCGCCTCGTCCACAGACACTGCTCAACGCCGACAACGAGCGAACGCGCTTCACCACCCGCGCGCGTGCATACGCCGAGCGGCCAACCCACCGAATCGCCAAGAACTCGACAATCCCACATCTCACATTTGGAACGCCGCCGACGACAACAACAACCGCACACGCACTCGCAATGATCACGCGGATACGAACGGCGCTGGTAGCCCTGTTCGCCATTCTATCGTGCCTGCAGTTGGCTGTGGCAGAGGAACGATGGGTCGAATATCAAAATGCACAGGGCGAGACGGTGGTGCTGGCAGACAACCGCAAGCCATCGCTATACACTGCCAATTTTGGTGATTGTCTGGGAGACAGCACCATCAATGTCACTCGCTTCGATGCTGCATACTATCAGGACAACATGACCGTGTTGTTCCACTTGGCGGGAAACACTGGCGTGGCCAACGACAGCTTGATGTTGTCCATCAGCGTCTTCGCCTACGGCGAGGACCGATTCAGTCTGATCTTCAACCCTTGCAACGCGAACATCCACAGCATGTGCCCGCTGAACAGCAGCGTACCCATATCTGCTAGTGGCATTATCCCAGTCGCTGAGTCTGACGTGGCCAACATTCCTGCCATCGCTCTGTCCATCCCCGACTTTGAAGGAGAGGCTATCTTGCGCATCTTCTCCAACACCACGCAGCAAGAAATTGCTTGCTACTCTGCAGTCGTCACGAATGGTGGATCTTTTGGACAACCAGCGTCCGTGGGCACTATCTTGGGACTGTTCACGCTGGTAGCTCTCATTGCATCGTTCGCAACCGCCATCTATGGAGAGGCCGTGCCGACCATAAGACTGCACTACGCTCACTCCCTGTCGGTCGGTGTTGTATTCGCCGTCTGGCAACACATCTATTTCACAGGCGCCTTGTCTATGAATTGGCCATCTGTCTTGGTGGCTTGGTGGAGCAACTTTGCGTGGGCTGGAGGCATGATCTACAGCTCTAGCATGCAGAGCAGCATTAACAATCTCATCGGCGGCAACATTGGTAACACTTCGCAGGTTGGCGCTGCTCAGGCCGGCTCGCCAAACTCAGATGTCGGTGGAGGCTTTGACATCAGCACAATTTACAAGAGAGCACTTGCATTTGGCATGGAGCGAGTCGTCAGCCACCCACTCGCCAGAGACTCTTGGGATCTTGCCTCGCATATATACCGCCGCGATTACAGCAAGACAATTCGAGGCGACTTACTGCAGCGTACAGTCGAGCGCACATTGCAGCGACGAGACACAGACGGCCTCGCTGATGCCAGCGATGGCTACAAATGGTACGGGAAGCCCGTCCCTCCTGGTGTGCCATTGCCTGGTAATTACTCTGGGTTCGCGGGCACCCTCGCAGAAGAGAATATTCCAGTCAGCAATGCCTTCATGACTGGCTTCTTATGGTTTCTGATTCTGCTTGTCCTCCTGGTGGCTGCTTCTATCACATTCAAATGGTCACTCGAGCTCTTCGTGCGACGCAAGTGGGCTAGGGAGGACAAACTGAAGTTCTTCCGCGACAATTGGATCGGCTACACGGCACAAGTCGCCCTTCGAACCTGCTACATCGGCTGGTTTGCGATGATGTTTTTGACCATGTTCCAATTCACATACAGCTCCTCCGGTGGCGTCAAAGGCATCGCAGTCATCGTCTTCATCATCTTCTTTGTCGGTATGCCGTCAGTCGCGGGATATGCATTCTGGTACAAGAAGGCCATTACGGATTCAGACTCACGTTTTGGACACACATGGGAGCATAACATGCTCCGAGGCAAGTATCCGGTCCCGAAGCTCCAAATACCAGCGAAGAAGACACCGGAAACCAGCGTCACCGAAACAGCACCAACTCACACGCACAGCGATAGCAAGGCAAGTGGTAATCCACTCTGGAAGAAAATGACCTCTACTGGCAGCATTACCGACCGAGACGGCAACAGCAAGAGCATTCACGATGATGAGGACTACACTAGGAAGTTCGGATGGCTTGCTGCTCGGTTTCGTCGCACTAGATGGTGGTTCTTCACTGCGTGGCTATTCTACGAGTTCGTGCGCGCCATCTTCTACGCAGCTGCGTCGGGGTATGCCCAAGCCCAGGTATTCGGACTTCTCATTGTGGAATTCCTCGCCTTCGCGTTCATCATCTGGATGAGACCTTTCGAGGGTCAGCGCCTGAATATCCTCGTGGTGTACTGCCTTGGCTTCAGCAAGGTCGCCACCGTTGCCCTCTCTGCTGCATTTGATATCAACTTCAACTTGCAACGCATCACGACGACAGTCATCGGTATCGTCATTATCGTCATTCAAGGTATTCTGACCATCATCACCATGATTGCCATCGTCGTTGGCGCCATTGGCTCGTACATGTCTGTCTCTCGCAACAAGGAAGACTTCCGGCCACGCAAGTGGGCAAATCTGCGTGAGAAATACTTTGACCATCTGGATCGTGTGGTTAATGACCTCCCTCCTCCACCGAAGCCCGAGCCACCGCCACCAGAGGAGCCGAAGTTCGGCTTCGAGATGAAAGGGATCAAGCGCATACCGAAGCTTGAAGACGAAGATGGAGAGTTCCAGACAGAGATGATGGCAGATCCAAATGCATCGTATCTCAGCTTCGACTCGCCAAGTGCGATCAGAAGTGCTACTGAGACACCTGTGAACAGGAGCAGAGCTAACAGCCGCGCTCCGAGTGTCGCTAGCATGAGCCTGGCCAATCTGCCGTATGGTGCTAGGGCACATCGTCCGAGCTGGAGCACACGGGACTACCAGCAAGACATAACTCTTGGCGAAGATGGCACATTCTCTCCAATTGACATGAGTCAGACTCTTGCCGAGGACGAAGATGCAATCATGTCCGGCTCTGCAAGCAAACGACACAGCCGCTTGTCAATCCGAAGCAACAAGAGTGCTGCCAACCCACCGCCGCTGCGAGCGCAACCGAGCAGTAGCTCGCTTCGTATCGGCGGCGAGGTCAGCACGGCCGATACAATCGGCAATGTGCCCAAACCCACAGTGCGGCCTCGGTCGGGCACCATGGGCTCAGTGCGCAGTGGTCGCTATGCATCTGGTGGGTTCGATGATATTGCAGAAGGTAGTCGATCGCGAGAGCATATTTTAGAGATGCCTCCATTGCCTTCTGCATCTTCAAGTCGACCTGGCAGCAAGCGCAATTCAGTGCACGACCAGGATGCCAAACCCGGCGCATCGAACTACGGCCGCACGCATCCATTGACTCCAGCGATGGAGGTGGACGAGTGGAATTTACAAAAGACGAATTCGAGGACGCAATAGGCCCGCTCCAAGAAGGAAGCTACCATCACGGAATACTGGACGATAGAACTGCAAGCTTTGCAGATGATGCGAGAAGATGAAATGATGCTGGCACAGCGTACAAGTCGGGAGAACCAGAAGCTGCACCAGCAGTAAAGCGATTGGTTTTGAAGATATGCCGAATTTGAGCGAGCATTGCATTTCGCGGCAGGAGTTCTGCATTGAAACGACTGCATCGAGCGCGAGCACCGAACAAGAGGCCGCGTCTCCACTAATTTCCATTCACGAAGAATAGATGTGGCAGAGATACCCACTAGCTAAGCTAAGCTTCTGAGCATATGTGCGACAACAGCTTGGTGGGAAGGAATATGGTACAAGACAGAGAAAGGAGTCTGGGCGATGTGCACAGATTCATAGAAGAGACAGAACTAGACATGAGCAGCTTCCGCGTACCAGCACGCATGGCATGGCAGGCTATGCCGAAGAATGCAGTGAACTACCTATACGTCAACATTTAAAGTCCCATCACCGTTTGTCAATTAAATGAAGAACTAAACCATACGATGCGTCATGTGACGAGGACCCACTCGCTTCACACTGCACCTTCCAACTTAGAAAGTGAACCCTTTCTCCCCATCTCAACCGCACCCATAATGTAGTAGTCTACAGAACAGTACGACAACATGTCGGCCACACCTTCTTCCTCCGCAGCAGCAGCAGCCTCCAACACACCGAACAAACCTCCTCCCACCGCCAACGTCAAACCCAGCCGTCTCCCAGCTCCGACCCTCTTCGTCGGCCCCCCTTCCAGAAATGCCTCCCACCTCTCCATCTCCCGCCAACAAACCCAAGAACCCCGCGAACCACGAAAAAGCACTTTAGGCAAAAACGTCGAACCCGCCTCGTCAACAATCAATGACGACACAAGATCCACGAATACCCGTAGATTTCCTCCTCCTGCTCCAGAAGTGAAGAAAACTTCGGAGAAAAATATCGAAGCGAAATGGAAGGAAATTCAGAGGATGCTTAATGAAGTGGAAAGTACGACGGCGGCTCAGCAGAATGTTTTTGGTGAGAGGCATTCTGCTGCGTTAGATGCTTTGAAAAAGGCGCAGGTTGAGCTGGCGAGGGCTTGGGGGAGGGGGAATCATCAGGATCAGGAGCAAGAGCAAGAGCAAGAGCATCGGGATGGGTTGGGAGGGGTTGAGGAACGGAGGGAAGTTGGAGGTGTGAGGAAGAGGGCTAGTACTGGTGCGGAGAGTGGGAGTACGGCGCTTTCTGATGAGAGTCGGGAAGAAGGGAAGGGTTCGGGGAGTTTGGAGGATGAGACGGCGATGGATATTCGGTTGGCGAGGGAGAGGAGGGCGGCGAATGAGGGGTATTTTATGAAGGTTGAGGATGGGGTTAGGGATGTTGTGAAGAAGTTGGAGGTTGTTGCTGAGGCTATGAGGGGCGTTGAAGGGGAGAGTAGGAGTTTGTGGAGTTCGGGTGAGAGTTCTATAACGGTGGAGAGGAGTGGGAGTTTAGGGAGTGGGAATGAGGAGCGGGTGAAGAGGTGATGGTATACGTCCTGCGGACGCGAGCATTTTTTTTTATTTGCTGCTTTTCCTATCTTTTCGTGCATGACGAAGAGCGAATCCCGTGTGAATGTAGCGGAAGCGAAATACGGTGACATCCCATCATCAAAGCTTGCAAGCGAAGCGAAGCAGCAGCCTCCGAGCCAGCTTTCGAATATCTTTCGACACACACCTGACTGACCAGAGAGACATTCGACCACACCGACTCGAACAAATTCTATAAGTCGTAAGACGCTAGCCATCACATCGTTCCCGCGATTTCCCAAGACGCATTCCGATCACAGAGCCAGAGTGGTCCAAGTCTTCCATCATAAGCACATATCAAACCCTCATGGCCACTTGCACAACCAGGCCCTCGCAACTCCGATATGCATCCCCTCCCAACAAATGTGCCGAAAAAGAAACTGGGTTTCTGGCATGTTCAAGAAGTTCAGAGATACAGTTGGCATCGGTCATCGAATTATATGTGCTTTCTCTCTCTCTCGCGGCGATGTGGCATGCCTGCCTACCTATCTATCTATGTCTGTTACTTGCTTGCATGAATGACAAAGTGAAAAGATAGGCGATAGACTTCTTCTTCTTCTGATAGATCGATCGGGGTTAGTTCCTCAACAACGCTTGCTTGCTTTGGAAAACGATGGACGAGAGAGATTCGAATCAGCTAGGTCGATGATCAATTCGTCTTACTCTCTATAGAAGAAGTACAGGAATCCAAGATGATGATTTTTCGAAGTGGAGAGAAAACGCAGCGCGGCACTGTTGAGCCGCTTGTTTATGAACTTGAACGCCCCCCCTCCCCCCCACCCACAGCATTGCCTCTTCGATATGATCCTCTATCTTTACACTTTCCTCCTGTGTTGACCCGCGACTCGGCTATAAATCTCAAGCCAAAGCGGGTACGCAAGCGGGATGTATATGCCCTTTTTTGTTCGCGTAACCGGCGTGCTGCGAGTCCAAAGGTTTTGCTCTCCTCACAAGTTGATCCATTATCACTAATATCTCTCTCTCTCTCTCTATCCTCTACTTCTTATTCCGCTCCGCCCTTTCCTTTTCATACTTTGCAACAAGCTCCTTCTGCAACTGTGGCGGTGCAGGGCTATAATGTGAGAATTCCATAGTAAACTCACCCTTGCCTTGCGAGGCGGCACGCAATTGCGAAGAGAAGCCGAACATGCTGTTCAGCGAACAGTCGGCAGTAAGCGTGAAATCTTCAGCACCAATCTCGGTGTCGTGGATAGTGGCATTGCGCTTGTTCAGTAGTCCAACGATGTTACCTTGGAACTCATTAGGGGCTGTGATGACAGTCTTCATGAGCGGTTCCAAGACTTGTGGTCCGGCGGCCAAGAAAGCTTTTCGGAATGCCTGCTGCGTTGCGTTTTTGAATGCCATTTCGGAGGAATCTGTCATGTGAGTCGCACCGTCCTCGATGATCATGCTGGCGCCAAGGACACGATGTCCCAGAAGAGGTCCAGTCAGACATGACTGCTCGAAACCTTTACCGCAGGCGAACAAGTACTTCTCAGGAATCGTGCCGCCGATAATTTGTGTCTCGAACTTGTTCTCGCTCATCTCTCCAGTAGGCTCCAGATATCCCACAACACGAGCGTAGTCTCCTGAACCTCCAGTCTGCTTCTTGAGAAGATGATCGAACTTGACCATATTTTGAATCGTCTCTCGGTATGCGACTTGTGGTTGACCGGTAATGACTTCGACGTTGTACTCACGTTTCATACGCTCGACATAGATGTCCAGATGCAGCTCACCCATACCAGAAATGATCGATTCGCCAGACTCGGCGTCGACAGTGATTCTGAAAGTTGGGTCTTCGCGCTGGAATCGTGCCATAGCCTTGGAGAAGTTTGGTGTATCCTTGGTGTGCTTGGGCTTGATTGATAGCGAGATGACGGGATCGGGAACAAACATGGAGCTCATGGAATAGCCAAGTCCACCGTCGGTGAAGGTGTCACCTGAAGCGCAGTCGACACCGAACACCGCGCAAATCTCACCAGCTCCGATTTCTGACACTTCTTCCATCTCGTTGGAGTGCATGCGCACGATACGTGGGATTTTGACCTTCTTGCCGTCTCGGGCATTGACAACATTTTGTCCCTTCCGCAGTGATCCTTGATAGACACGGATATAGGTGAGTTGGCCAAAGTTGGACTCTTCGAGTTTGAAGGCAAGACCGACGAAGGGCAGAGAGTTATACGAGACAAGCTTTACTGGTGCTTCAGCTCGCTTTGTGTCCAAGGCAAGATTCTCGACTTCGGATGGATTTGGGAGGTAGTCAACAACAGCATCGAGCATGGGTTGCACAGACTTGTCGGCCAGGGCTGATCCCATCAGCACAGGAGAGAACTTTAGGGAAATGGTGGCGCGGCGGACTGCAGCCTTGATCTCGTCGATTGATGGCTCGCGCTCTTCCAAGACGGCATCGGCAATCGCTTCATCAACATCGGCAAGAGTTTCGACCAGGACCTGTCTCTTCTCTTTGGCGAACTCTAGTACGTCAGCAGGCACTTCGTCCTCACGCACGATTATTCCCTTCTCGCCCTCTGAATAGATGGCCCTCATGCGAATGAGGTCGACAACACCCTTGAAGTTGTCCTCCATGCCGATGGGAACTTGCAAGGCAGCAGCAGGAATCTTCAGCTTCTGATTGATGCCATCAACTGCCTTCCAGGGATTTGCGCCAGCACGATCCATCTTATTGACGAAAGATATTCTTGGCACATTGTAACGCTTCATTTGCCGGTCTACGGTGACAGTCTGTGATTGCACACCAGACACGGCGCACAAGATCATGACAGCACCATCCAGCACGCGCAAGGCTCTTTCGACTTCGATCGTGAAGTCAATGTGTCCCGGAGTATCAATCAAGTTGATATGGTATTTCTCGTCCTTCAGCTCGCCCGTCACTGGATCTGGTGTCTTCTTGATCCAATCACAGAATGTCGCGGCCGATTGAATTGTGATTCCCTTCTCTCTTTCGAGATCCATGCTGTCCATCTTTGCGCCGACGCCATCTCTTCCACGCACTTCATGGATATCCTTCACTCGTCCCGTGTAGAAAAGAACTCGTTCAGTAGCGGTTGTCTTGCCGGAGTCGATGTGTGCCGCGATACCAATGTTTCGGACTTTGTCTAGTCGTGCATGTTCCTTAGGATTCAGATTCTCGATGATGGCATCTTGTGAAAGAGATGTAGGATCGTGCATCGCCGTCTCCATCACAGCTGCTGCTGCACCAGACTGCCATCTCCGGGCCTGTATTTGCCATATTCTTTCGTGGTTCTGGCCCTGGATGTGTGGTCGCTGGAGTGGCACTGAAGCAGCGGAAACAAAAGTCCTTCTACTGGCCACACTGCCGCCGCGCAAGGCAAAACTGCGCAGCGACGTCCGCGCGAGATTCTGCGCCGGCGCCCGCATAGTTGATGGGAATAACGAAAGACACAACGACGCAGTGTCAATGCATTTGCTTCGCGAGGATTGATGGCAACTTTTTGGGAGACTTTCTTGAAGCGCTTCCGATTGGTCAGAATCGAGATTCAGGGTTCGTCTTGTCATTCACGTCTTGCACGTGCAACACGTTAGGCCTAGGACGCTGGGACGCGTCTATTCCGCAACTTTTCCTCGAGACCTACCAAGAAGTCCTACTACGCACCTAGGCCTTGTGCATCAACTCGTACAGGACCTCTACCTATACCATACAATGGACAGTCTCAGGAAGTGCACCGACATCGCTTACGATCACCCTGAGCTGGCACGAAATATCGAGTCAGTGTGCTTCCAGGCTGATCGTCTTGATCCATTTGTCGATACCAGCTTCGAGGCATGGAACAAGGAGCGGCAAGAAGAGTTTTGGAACGTATGGGAAGAGTACGTCAACGACACATTGCATGCCCAAGAGGGCAAGACTTTCTGCGATACCTACTGCATCGAGTGCTACCGCCATCAATATGACCCCGATGTCGTTATCGCCGCTCAGATTGCTTCATCTGCCTCTCCATCTGTCGATTTTGTCGTGCGATGCCTCGCGACTGCCTCTGCCAGGGCTCCGGGCGGTTGATTTTTGCCCTCGTCCTCATAAGGAGTAACATCGTTGTAACCATGACCGGTCCAGCAATAATCCAGAACATCACGTCACTGTTCTCATTAACAATGGGCATTTTGTCGAAGTTCATTCCGAAGTAACCGGTTAAAAATGTTAGTGGTAGAAAAAAGCTCGAGATCAATGTCAGTTGCCTGACGCTTTCGTTCTGACTCGCGGCAATTGTGTTGAATATCAGGGATGAGAGATTCTCGGCTGATCGGATAGACATGCGAGTATTGTTGGCGACGGCAGTCAGGTGGTCTTGTACATCACGCAGATAAATTTGAGTCGTGGCAGAGATCTCGATGCTGGTCTGCGCTTGATTCTTCAGGCTTTCGATAGTGGAGGGATTGCTTGAGCGTCCGGAGCCAGGTACTGCTCCATGATCGCATAAGGTCCGGACGAGGATGTTGATGGCGTTGGCATTCTCCATGAAGGACGTAAGACCGGAGCGAAGGATATGTAATTGCTTAGATTGTCCAATAGTGGGTCTCGAAAGCACGTCTTGCTCTAGATCATCGAACGCTTCGCCGACTGCCTTTCCGATGGGAAGAGATAGATCCACAATAGCATCGATACAGGCTTGCAATAGCATTGACGCATCGTTGCTCGATCGGACTACTGTTTGCGAGGATCGTAGACGAGTCATGATCGGTTGGAGAATATCGTTGCCAGAGCGCTCGAAGATAGTGATGAGAGTGTTATCCGTCGTCAGAAAAGCTGATACCTGCTCAACGGACATTCCAAATTTGCCGGGTACCAGAGTTCGCCATCTACCGCGATGGTGGCACTGCTTCTCCTGCTGGCTATCTTCGTTCCCTGGTGGGTCACCTTCATTGAGCTTGGCGAGATTCAGTTCTAGAAAGCAGTGATCCTCATACCAATCGACCTTGGTTGGTGTGTGAATGTCGAGAACGTCCTCAATTGCAAGTGGGTGTAAGCTTTTGTGATTGCCCAGGCATCGAACCACATCAAAGTTGAGGCCATTAACGTAGATCCATCGAACAGCTGCCCAGTCTGGCTTTGGATTTGTCTGTAGAAACTGCTCTAGATCTGTGGCTGCTACATCCCGCTCGTCGAGTTGTTTGTGAGAGTAGTCAATGACCCGGATATCGCTGGCCGCATCTGGTCGCAGTCGAGCTGGATCCCACTTCTCATCCTTGGTAGCAGGATCGATGCCGGGCTCTGCGCCGACTTTTGGTAACCATCTTGGCCGGAACGGATGTGTTTGGAACGCTCGAGCAAGCGTAGATTGTTCTGCTGATCTGTGTACCGACAACCTTTGTGGTAGTGCTGGATTCTTGCACTCATGCCATGCAGAGCTTCTAACTTTATCGCTTATGCTGCGACATGAAGACCAATTTCCTCGTCGCTGGCGCTGTGGCGTATTGATAAAGCTCCTACTGGGGCAGAACAGGTCGTGCATAAGCCTGCTATTCAGGCTTATAAGCTCGCGTCGCGTCATATTGAAGCAGCTTGTATCGACTACGGGACTTCCGTCATGTCGAAAGCGCCTGATCTGATCGAATGGGATCGAGCGATGGATCAGGCGTATTCAGAATTCTCGGTTGGACACAGATTCCATGTGATGCAATGTGGTTGAAGGAGCCAGGATCGTGAACAGCCTGAGGCACGAACACATGACTCGCGCGCACTTGGAAAGTCCATTCGCACTGCTGCTTCTTCTTCATTCCTTCAAGGTAAGTCACGACCATTTCGCCAGGCAACTTGTTCTCATCTATTGCTGCAGAAATGTCGCTCGTACCAGCGCGCAACGGCGCCAATGGACCGCCAACTCGAGCGAATCAACTTGTCAGCGATAAGCCTTTTCAGACTTCGACGAAAGGAAAAGTGCCAACAGGTTATGCGCAAGAGATCGCCATATCAGAACAGAGCTTCCGCGATCTGCACCGCGAGGTCGAAAAATCAGGTGCTGCGGGCAAGAAGCGCAAGCGGGAGACGAAAGGCGACAGCAGCGTGGTGTACGGCGCTGGGGCTTACAAGGGTCCTTGGGCGAAGTACGAAGAACAGCGCATAGACAGCGACAGCGGCGAAGAGATTGAAGTCGAAGTATCCGGCGATGAGAGCGGCGAGGAGGTTGTCGAGTACGAAGAAGATGCGATTGTTGCAAATCCCACGAAGGGCACTATCGCAGGCACAGAATACGGCCAAGTCGGACAAGACACAGAAAGCAGTGTATTCGAGGGATCGCAACAGTACGATTACCAGGGCCGAACATATATGCATGTGCCGCAGGACCTGGACATCGATTTGGTTGGCGATTTCGAGAATCTCAACTTGAAATGCTTTCACCCTAAGAAACTGATACACACCTACAAGAGCCACGGAAAGAACGCTCACGAGAAAGCCTTGACTGGCCTCAAGTTCTTCCCGTCGTCTGGCCACCTCCTCTTATCGTCCGCAGCCGATGGCAAGGTCAGGCTTTGGGATGTCTATCATGACCGCGAGCTGCTCCGGTCCTACACTGGGCACACCAAGTCTGTGGTGGACGTGGACTTCACTCCAGATGGCACCAAATTCGTCTCCGCTTCGTACGATCGTCAAATGAAGGTATGGGACACTGAAACTGGGAAGTGCCTAGGCCGCTACAGCACCGGCTCAACACCTCACGTTGTCCGATGGCAGCCTGAGGATCCTTCTGGCCATGAATTCTTGGCTGGTATGCATGACAACAAGATCGTGCAGATGGATACGCGATTGCCAGCCGATGGCGAGAAGAAGAACCCTGTGCAGGAGTACGATCACCATCTTGGACCAGTAAATACCATCACCTTCACCGACGAGAATCGGCGATTTATTACCACTTCCGACGACAAATCCCTACGTGCGTGGGAATACAACATCCCGGTGCCGATCAAGTTCATTGCTGAGCCATATATGTTCCCAATGGTCAAGTCTGCTACACATCCCGCCAAGGGCGCAGTGCTGCTGCAGTCCTCTGACAACACGATCAAGGTATATAACACTGGCGAGAAGATCAGGCAGAATCGAAAGAAGGACTTCCGAGGCCACAACAACGCCGGTTACGCCATCGATATCGATGTGTCGCCTGACGGAGGCATTGTGTCTTCAGGTGACAGTGGAGGGTTCGTATGCTTCTGGGATTGGAAGAGCTGTAAAATGTGGCATAAGATTAAAGCTAGCGACTCTGCTGTCATTGCGACTGCATGGCACCCAAGAGAGGCTTCGAAGGTGGTTACGGGTGATCTGAATGGAGTCATAAAATACTGGGACTAGGGCGTTGACCGTCGAGCGGCCCGGCAGTGATGGATATCATCTGGCCTGTCAAAGACACGGCCTCTCTACCGCAAGTAGACGAATGTCGAGCGACGGTGATGCAACCAATTTCCTGTCCCCGATCACCTTCACCGCTGCATCGCTGCATCCACATCTAGCCACGTCCTCGTACTCTCGTGCTGCAGAATAGCCGGCTGTAGAGAGTGACAGGTCCGCTTCGTACAACAGGACTATGCACTGGACCGAGAGGGCAAATAATGTCATGTCCCGCCCACAATTTTGGTTGGCCGCTGTCCTCCGACGCCGCCCAGTGACATGTCACCTTTTCGCATCGCATGCAATACCATACACGTTGGAGGTGCAGATTGATATCGGTCAGCTTTGGCCATTGCGTTGAAGCTCAATCGCGGCATGAAATGCGACCTCTAAGACCTCGACTCTGTCCACACGTTTCTCAATGGGAATCTTCCAAGCCCTTTTCGGCCCGAGACTCACGCGGAGAGATCTCGACGTCCTGCAGAAACAACTGGAACGCGAATTCGATAGGAGACACGAACAAGGCGGCAGCGATCGACATGGTTCTAGGTCGAGTGATGCAGGGCGGAGACACCAACAGAAGAACGAGACAAGGGTTCGAACATATCCAAGGAAAGATCGATATGCTGGCGAGAGTGACAGTTTGTCGGAGGAGGAAGACGTACTGGATGGCCTTTGTGGTCGATGCGGCGGACGAGTGCGATATCGAGTGATCTCTCGCGCGCCAAAGACGTCGAAACGATGCTCACAACAACAGCCACAACCAGTGGTCTTCGTCAACCCTGACAACGTACGCCCATCATGGCAGCCAGAGCCACAGTATCGCTCGGAACGACCGCCATATAACTATTACACCACCTCACCACCAAACCAGGGCTCGACGGCTGGACAGCAGAGCAATATTCCACTTCCCCAGCAATACGACGATATTCTGAACCGAGTTGGAAATGGACTTAGGCAGAGAGCAGCGCACGAGAGAGAGTTTCTCAACCGAGCCGAGGCTGCCGTACAGGGTATTGCGTGACAGAGCATTGGGCACGATTGATATTGAGAGGTCGACTTGGCCCACTAAAGAGGAGTTTTGCAAGAATACTCGAACAAAAGTATCCATTCAGAGCAGAGCCTGTTGCGTTCCAAAGCCTTGCCAAGGATCTCGGGTCGGTTCGGTTCAGAAGCGGGCTGTGTCTTCTCCACTTGGCGAGAATGACGCAGAAGGGGCCCGACAAAGACATCACGAAGGATTCTCTGCGCCGCACCTTACTTCCCTTCTTGTGCTATTCTTGTGCTGTTGACCAGAAGCATGTAGCGCTACAAACATTGGCGCGATGTAGTCGGTCCAGAGCTACAACTGCGCCTTGCCTTCGAACTTCAGCGTGACCTCTTTCCAATGTTCATTTCATGCTTCATCACAATAAGTACAACAGCTTACATGCACGCATTCGCATTCGTAACGAGCTAGACGTGTCACCACACCTCACCATCTGCAAAGAAACAAATAAAACCCACCGCCCTAACTTCTACCAGGAGCCTGGACTACACCCAGCAGCAAGCATGGACTGGTCATCAACAGCCGCCCACCACATAATCGACAACCCATCAACCCACGAAGACCATCTCGAAATCCACCGCAAAGGTCGAATCGTCCTCCTCGCAGACCGAAGCACGAATTTCTTCGGAAAATCCGAACTTCGACTCCGCACCTCCAAAATCGATGGAGATCGCACGGTCGCTGCTGCGAAACTCAAACCCACGTATCATGGATGTCGTGTGTTGCTAGGTGACCCGGACGACCGAAAGGCGAGGAAGGCGTGGCAGGAAACCGAAACTTCGGGGACGTATTTTTCGAGGTATCAGATTTTGTGGATGGGGAGGAAGTTCTATTGGAAAAGGTTGGCGTTGGAAGAATTCTCTTGACACGGTAGGACTTTGGCTGACTGACTTTCTCCAGATTGCATCTTGATTCGGATCGTAAGCTCCATACTCTGCCTTCGGGTGAGGACTCTATGGAACTAGTCTCGGCGGATGATTTGGATGCCGTTCTCGCCGTTTATACTACGAACACAGCCGGTGTTCCACACGAACAGGCTCGTATAGACTACATGCAAGATCTGGGCCAAGATCTTGAGCATTTGGTCCTCGTCTCCGCCATGGCTTTGATCATGAATCAAGCTTTGCTTAGGAAGGCGAGAGGGATGCCATTGGCGCAGGGACCGTTTCCGCTTACGGGTGGATTTGTGACTATGCCTTATGCATCATCCAGCTATTGAGGAGGAAGAGGAGGAGGAGAATATACCCGGTCTTACGACAAGTTGAATGCCTTCAATGACTTCACTTTTTCTCGATGTTCTCGCTCCTACGAAGCGATTGCAATCTTCTCCAATTCCGCAATCATCTCCCTCTTCACATCAGCTGGCGCCCACGAGATCTCCATGGCGCCTTTCATCAGCCGAACCACATCCTCATTCGTAAACTTCCCAAATTTCTTTAGAATACGCAAATTCTCCAACACCCAGGTATCTTCCATAAACGCAGGATCATCACTCCCAATCGAAATCCGAATCCCAGCATCAAAAAGTCTTCGAATCCTGTCCCAAACGTTATCAAAAGGTTGGTGTCGAATATAACTCCAAGGACAAATCGTCATAGCCAGCCCCTTTTCGCGCACCCGATCCAAAAGTTTCAGATCTTCCACAATATTCAACCCATGATCGATGCGATCGGCCTGAATATCCTCAACCACTTGCCGAATATTCTCGACCGGGTATGACTTCCCAACATCACAATGACACGTCAATTGAAACCCATCTTTCCTCGCCCTCGAAAATACGTCGTGGAAGAAATTCGGAGGCCTGCCGTCTTCATTCGAATCCAAGCCTACGCCGATGATCATATCTCCTCGATCCGGCAGCGCAGCTTCATAGAATTCCATTGCGGATTCCGGACTTTCGTCGCGCATGAAACACATGATCCAAGAACTTTTCACATGCAACGATTTCTCGGCTTCGTCGGAAGCTTCGCGAAAGCCTTCCAGCATCGTGGACCAGGATGTTCCATTTTGGATGTGACCTTGTGGATCGAAGAAGATTTCTGCATAGCGGATGTTTTGGGATGAGGCGTTTTGGAAGTAGTGCATTGCGAGGTCGTAGTAGTCGAGTTTTGTTTCTAAGACCTTGAAGCCGTTGTAGTAGATTTCGAAGAATGAGAGCGTTTCTTCGGTGTTGGTCATTTGCCCTTCGTCGGCAGGTTTCAAGGTGTTGTGGGAATCTTGGAGTTGTGCTAGGGATGTGAAGACCACACCCGTGCGTGGGTGGATGAGTGGTGTTTTGTTGCGCTGGGAGATTTTCCATTTTAGTTCTGGAGTGAGACAGCCTTCGATGTGGACGTGGAGTTCGACTTTGGGAATGTTGAGGAGGAATTCGTCCTTGGTGTTTTGGAGAGATTCTCGAAGGTCTCGGCGGGCTTCGATGGGGAGTGCATTCTCGACGTTGGCCATCTTGGATGTGATATGCTGGATCGATGGATTGTGATAATTTTGAAAGCTAGCGTGCCTTTTTCGCTCTCGATATCGTCTCTGGTCTTGATATATGTTTCTTCTCTTGTAGCTGAGCTCGGGTCAATCGCGAGCGAGAAGCATGACTCACCTGGTTGTACTGCATCCTTCATGCTCTCCACTTGTTAGTGAGGGCATATATTCTCAAAGGGCAAGATGCATGTGGCGATCCTGCAAATCAAGCACAATCCGGGTGTATCCACGCCTTCGCCTGCTGTAGGTCATCTGATGGCGTCGTGTAGGAGACTACAGTGAGCGAATGCGCCCGGATGAAGGCAGCTTGTGAATGCAAGGCTCACACCGAGCGTCTTACTGGCAGTCAAATTGAGCGACAGCACCCACCACATTACCAGCAGGCAAGAATTATGTTACCACGGAGTACGTCTGCAGAATCCGGAAATTCCCGCCTGTAGAGGAGCTTCGAGATCTCTTCCTCGCTCCTGCCCTCGTAAGGCTCTCGGCCACGGAAACTTGCGTACAAAACAGAGCCGAGGGCGAAGAGGTCTGTCTGGACTGTTGATGGATCTTCTGCTTTTCGGGGGAGGAAGTATCGTGGTCCTTCTATGGCTGTGCCCTGTTGTCCATCCAATGTCGAGCCCGCGAAATCCATTATAACCAAGCGCTCCTCGCTATCGAGCATGAAATTGCGCAGCTGAATGTCACCGTGGACTATGCCATTCGCGTGGAGCACTGCAACAGCTTCGGCCGCGCCGTTCGGGAGATAAGGCAAGACCAGGCGCCTGGCCGAGCTGCCATGTTTTAGATGGAGTAGTCGAGGGTGACGAGGTAGTCTTCGATATATGTCGAACTCGCGCTGGAGCTCTCGACTACTCAAATCCGGGTCAAAACAGTCGGGATAGTCTACTGCAGCTTCACAACTTGCTCGTCATTGCCAAGCTCTTTCTCGACCCTCGCTGTACTTCCCCCACTGACTGTTTCCCGGCCAGCAGGCGGTGGCTTGTGCGTTCCTGACCCCTTTGACGTCGGATGGCAAGACAATCTTGTGATTGTGTATCGAGCGCAGGGTGGGCGCATCAGTTGTATCACGGCCCCGACCAGGCCTGTCGCCGCCGCACCAGAAGATCCGTAATGCGTGTACCGCAGCGCATACATCTATCCAAGAGACGTTCGAAATATGCCCTGCAAAACTCGAATAAAGGCAGCCGCAACAGGAAGAACGAGCTGGCTGCTGCCGCTGTACCCCAGCGGGCAGCCGTAACCGGACACAGAATACACTTAAATCGATAACAGCACTATATATTTAATAAACAAATTAATTGAATAAATGTAAAATTATTTCACAGAAGTGTCTGCTAGATTGCTACTATTCTGTCTATTGCTATAGTACTAGTATATACTTAGCAGATCTATAGGCTATAGTACTATTTTAGTCGTAAATATAGTAGAGTAATATTTTTAGATAGTAACTAAAAAAATTCAAGTAGTGTACTACACTATGCTTAAGATGCTAGTAGCTTCTAGTCGCAACTTGCTCCTACTAGTAGTAGTACGCCTAAAACCGCCTAAATACTATTAAAAATAAAAGCTACTAGTAGAAACATATTCTAATATTTATACTTCTAGATATAGTTTTATATATCTTGTTATAGTAGCTGCCTAGAAAGCACCGACAAGTCCTATAAGCTAGCCGCTATACTATAAAGTAATATCGGATTTAAGTTGCCTTAGTAGTAGGGGCCTCTAGCGAAGTAGGTCGCCTAGTTAGCCTAAGTCGCCTAGGTCGCCTAGGTCGCCTAGGTCGCCTAGGTCGCCTAGGTCGCCTATTTAGCCGTATAACGTAATATCTTAGAGACTCCCGCGAAGGCTATATATAGTAGAACAATATATTATATATTAATATACGAACGACGGGACTATACTAAACTACGCGTACGTATATACGGACGATAGTAAGCGAGATATATAGAGTCGTAGAATAGATCCGAGTAGTAGGAAGGAACCGGAAGGTAGGGAAGAGCTAGGAGAAATATATTTACTTAAAAGCGGTTAAACGAGTTTGTATACGCGCGCTACGCTAGTTAGCTAAGAGACAAAGGCGCTACGAGATAGCGGACAAGTAGGATATACGTACTTACGCTTACGCGTTAGACGCGCTAGACGGCTATAGGGCGGAATACTAAGGAAGAGGCTCTCCCTCTAAGGTACTCTTCTTCCTTTCTTCGTAGTTCGTCTTATATAGATAGTAGCTATATTAATTTAGTGCTCCCTTTAGTTTAGTTTAAAGTTTCGTATATATTCTTACTACTTAGCTACTAACCCTTATATTACGAACTGCCTTAAAAAACGCCTCTATTAAGATAGATACGCCCGACGAATAGATTTAAAACACAAGACCTAACGAAGTACCTAATTTTTCAAGCTTAGTATAGAATAAAATCCCCGCTACGCGCGAACAGCTAGACTACGCCTACGCTACTAACCCGGAACTACTCGCTAACCTACTTAAGGCTTATAAAGATGCTACTCGTTTCCTTTCGGTCTCCTATACTAGCCTTAGTATAGCTCTTAGCGACGTAAATGCTTCTATCGCGGAAAAAGAAGACGAGGTAGGCCGCCTCTAGTCGTAGCTCGCCTCTACTCGCCTAGGCGCCGCGGTACCTACCTCTTACCTATTTATACCTACTTCGAATAAGAGTAAGAAGCTAAGCGACCCCGAACGCTTTACCGGTAAGCGTAAAGTATACGAAGAATTTAAGATATAGGTTAAGATCCGCTTTCTTGCTAACGCTAACTACTATTTAACTAAAGCTTTAAAGACCGGATTTATATTTTCTCTACTCGGTAGCTCTGCCCTCGATTCCTACCGTAGCCTCTTAGAAAATATAGAAACAACTATAACGGCTACTATCTAGAAGGCCCTCGACGCTAGTTTCGGCAACCCCGACTGTAAGCAAACTACGCGCCTAAACTTAGACAAACTTAAGCAAGCAAACAAGACCTACTAAGAATACTATACCGCCTTCTAATATAAGATTAGGTACGCCGAATACCCCCCGAACGTCGCTAAGTAGATCTTAGTACGCGGCCTTAGCGAAGAAATAATGCTATAAGTCCGCGATAAGGATACGGAGAATCTAAATATTACCGAACTATACGCCTTACTTACGCGTATCGATAATACGACTCGAAACTTCGCGAAAATTATCGCTAACTACGGAGGCGCCCGTACGAATACTAGTCGCTTTACGTCGCCGTTCGCTACGCTACCGTCGAAGTTATAGATAGCTTAGACGCCGGCTTTAGTACTAGCTCTAGCTATAGCCCTAATACCGCTAGGCGCCTAGCCTATCGCCGATCCGATAGATTTAAGCGCTGCCTCGCTCGGCGCCCGTCTATGCGTACCCCTAGTAAATAGTAAGCTTTCGGAAGAAGAGAAGTAGCGTCGCCGTATAGTAGGAGAATATATCTACTACGGAGTAAAAGGATATATTACTCGCCTCTACTCGTCTCTCGTCGGCCAGCTAAATACGCTAACGATATAGCGAGTCGCCGCCGCGAATATTATAACTCTAGATACGCCTTTACCGGCTAGCGCTACTTCGAGCGGCTAGGGAAAAGCTTAAACCTTATATATAGTCGCTTATAAGGTTTATTCGTTCTAAAACTAAGAGTATCTATTACTACCTTCCCTTTCTCTAGCTCGGCTATAGAGAAAGAGTTAGTCTACTAGCCTTTCGTAGTAGAAACGTTAATAGGAAATTAAAAGAAATTATTAAAAACTATAGCTCTTATTAACAACGGCGCAACCGGCTACTCGTTTATAGATTACGACTATACGAGAGAGCTCGGCTTAACGTTCTAAGACCTTACGTACGCTTAGGAGTTAGAAATATTTAACGGTACGACCGCGGCCGCCGGTAAGGTAACCTAGATCTGCTACTTATCTATTACTATCGGCCTATATACCGAATATATTATGTTTTTCCTTACGAAACTCCCGAAGACGTACCTCGTTATTCTTAGTCTTCCTTAGCTTAAAAAGTACAACCCGGTTATCGACTAGGCCTCCGAATCTCTATCCTTTACGAGTAAGCATTACGCTAAGTACTACTTTGTAAGAAAATAGGTATATAGCAACGTATAGAACACCCTCTACTAATCGCCGTAGTAGAGAGTAGAACTAAACTGTACCTTTCTTAGAACAGGGCAGAGTGTTTACTATTAACTAGGCTACGTACGGATAGTATATATGCCGAGCCGGCAACCGAGTATATCCGTACGAGCGACCGAGCTTTTCCGCGTATACGCTAAGCAGGCTTTGCGCTAGCAAGACAGTACCGTAGTGTACGTAATAATATTACATAATTGTTATATAGGCTTGCTAAGGCATAATAGGAGACTTTACTTGCTTAGGTTCTTATAATTATCTCCTTCCCCTAGTATAGCTATCCTAGCTATAGGGTAATATAGTAAATTATACTATTTCTTATACTCTGCGCTATACTTACGCGTCTTATACGCACCTGTCGCTAGGCTATAGTTACTAGGCGCGTTATGTTTTGCCTCGTAGTTGCTTGTTTGTTTATAGATTTAAAGCGCGGCTACTTCTAGTACTAACTAGAGGTTGCCTAAATTTCTAAGAACGCGGTAGCTACGCGAGAATGTAAGCTGTCCGAAAGCGAGGCGAGTATTTAAAGCATTCGAAGCCCGCTTAAAAACTTCTTCTTTTTCTAAGCGCTCCGAATACTACCCGCCTATCCCTCGCCTACTTTCCTCTTACGCCCCCCTAGTATTACTTAAAGATTTTTCTTTTTCGAACATCTATCTAAAAAAATATTACTAGTATAGCTACTCCTTCGCGTACCTTAGGCAAGCGCGCCGTAGGCGTACTGCCCTCGATACCTACTACGCCTACCTAGCGCCTACTAAAAGTCTTAGAGGGCTATACTCGTTACTTTAGATATATAATAGCTAATAGTACG